AGTGGAAAAGTGCCCAGTTTGCCCAGTCTACAAAAAGGACACTTTCCTCGGTGATAAATGGCCATCAGCCTAGGCTCTAACATCACATGTGATTAAAGTATCTGGGTTCCACTAAGGCCATCGGGGACATAGACACGGACACAGAACGCCTCTTGGTGGAGTCGGAGATGGTGTTGTTGTTCCCAGCAGATTACTTCCGAGGACATCCTGAAACAATGCCATGGGTCTTCCTTCCATCATAATCAGAAGTGGAGATATTTGCTGCTGACTGCGCAAATTTCAGCACCATTTACAAGCCATAGATATTAAAGCATTCTGTACCCATACGCAGCAAGACTTGGTCTACATCAAGGTTTGGATGTATTTGGCAAATGATAGATATATGCCACAACAGCAAGGCAATGACCATCTGCAACAGAAAAGCTAACCAACTCGACATTCAAGAAGGTATTACCAGTCACTGAAGCCACCGCTAACCAACATCCTGAGGGCTACTATTGACGAACCATATAAATACCATAGCTGCAAGAGTTGGTCAAAAGCTGTAAACGTTATATCATGTAACTTACCTTCAGACTCCCCAAAGTCTGTCCACCATGTCAACCACAAGGCACAAGTCAGGAGTTAACTCCAAGTATTCCTTTTGGAAACTTTATCATTTACAACCTCCCCTCTTATTCAGCTCCCTGTGTCCCCATCTTACAACCTCACTCTTGCTTCACCCCTCACTTCTGAGAGCTTCCTCTGCTCCTCCAGCTATCCCAGTGACTCCCACACATGCAGCATCTTTTCTTCTTTCCCCTCCACAAAAAGACATATCCACTATCTCTCCTCGTCCTCTTCTTTCTCCCAGCACCCCCACCAAAACGCTCCCCTGCGAACCAGCCCCCAAAAAGCTTGTCTGTCTCCATTACCCCAGAAGTCCCCTGCAACCAAGTCTTGATCAGTTCCCCAGCTTCCTTGCAACTTCTTCATCCTCACCACCTGCTCCCTCTCTGAAGCTGTCTCTCCACCCCAAAGCTTTCTCCTGGACTCGGATCACGTTTGTAAATGAGATTTCACAGGGAAGAAAAAAATTAAACATTTTCCCAGTAGTGCTGAAAGCTAACTCTTGTCAGTGTGCAGATGCTTTCCAGGACAGTAAGCATACTACAGATGAATGGATTTCTTTGTAAAGTAGAAAATTAGAATGCTTCACTGACAAGATGCCAAGTGAAATAGGCCAATTCCCTACAAAGTCAATAGGCAGCACAGTGCAAAGAATGACCTACAGCTATTTGCATTTTTGAGTAACCTACTTATGACAACTGACATCAATTTCATTTGAACTACAGGAAACTAGTTGTGCAGCCCTTCTCCAGAAGAAATACAACTGAATATTTTGATTTAAAAAAAGGAAAAACAGTGATGGACCTCACTTTAGCTGTTTCCCCACACAAAAAGTAATGATTTCATACAGTTAACCATTAGGAATCAATGACACATTGACCAGAACTCACTGGATCTGAAATTTGATAACATAATGGAAGCTGCAGCAGAGCTTAAAACTAGACTTGAATCGACCAACAAATATCTGACCATCTGTCAATGACTGGATTTGAACCATTAGTTGCTGGTGCACCAAACAGCAAGTTTTGTATGCCATATGTGACATTCAATGAAGCATTTCATGTAGAATTACAAATAGGGTGTGGAGGATATAGCTTTAGCCACTAAATTTATTTTTAAATTGGAATACCACTGACTTAGCATGACTGTTCAAAGTAGTAAAACATTAAGACTGAGCAGAGCTATACCAGAAAACTCACGGATGAGGCAAAGAATTAAAGTGGAGTTGAGAATGAATGAGCAAATGTTATTTTGCATCACACCTTTGCACAGGAATGCCAGCTTATTTTTATGTACTCTGGTCTGGAATGAAACTTCAGATTTATGAAAAAGGAGCTACCTCATGACCAACTGATAGGCAAGCAGAACAAAAATAAATCTGTTTCGCATATTATGTTTTTTGTGTAATTGACCCCAAAAGGAAAGAAGAATTAAAATGCACATACAGCTAGCAATACCCCTGATGGAAACAGCAAAGCTTTTAAATGGGCAACATTAACTTTTGTCAAACAAATATGAAAATCTTATGAGCCCCTATAATTTCAGAAAATTAGTTTGACATACAATAGATTTAGATTCTGAAGAATGCCATATTGTGTTTGCCCACCAAGTTTGGTAACTTTTTAAAAGTAATTTGTTAACGTTTTAAGAAAAAGACAAAAAACATTTAATTATTTATTCTTAAATTTTCAATATATGTAAATTGAAAACCCCACTACGCAGAAAATGAAATTTGCATCACCGAATGGTTTCTGCCTTCTTGCTGGCATTTCTACTGTCAACAACTTTACCGTTAAATCAACAAGCTATTGTTCTGTATGACAAACACATCCCGTAACACTTGTCAAATCCAAAAGTAATCAGCCAAGATACGCAAGATAATTAAAATGTTCTCAATTTAAATTTGCAAAATCACCCCATCCAAGTATCTTTGCATTTTGCTTTTAAAAAAAGGCAGGTCACAGTTTTAATTCCAGGTATTTTCTAAATCAATTTGTTCAGAGGCATCATACACTACTGGAGGAGGTGGACTTGAACCCTTGCCTTCTGGTTCAGAGATAGAGACACTACCAGTGTGCCAGAATAGCCTACACACCTCTAATTCCAACAGACCTGATTATTTGCTTCCACCATCTTTGGGTGACTCCTGTGTGATCTTTCAATTATAATCAAACATTTCCCTTTCTCAGCAGGGAAATACAACACAAATCCAAAATTCTTCTGATCAATCAACATAATTCAGAAGTAAAAATATATTATCTCACGTTGTGGTGGTCCAAGGCACAGTTTCACCAAATACATTAAAAAGTTTACATGAAAATTAACCATGCTAACTTCAATGTTACCAACTATTCAGTCATAAAATTGTAGAACCATGAATCTTCAAAGTCAGTTAGTCATTCTTTCAAACTAGCAATATCTTACAAAATTATGCTACAGAATATAGACACACCTTTTGATACATCAAGTGTAGTTCTAAGTTACTCATTTAATCCCCATTCCTGATTGATCTCCACATTGTTTAGAATTATTGGCATATTGCCCGATCCTTTCTTGTGTACCTCTGCAACCTCCCTTAAATGCATCCATTCTATACATTGAACCACTCCATGTGTTAACAAGTCCCACGTTTTAACTATTCTCTGTCACAGAGTGACAAAGCATGGAAACAGACCTCTCGGTCAACCTTCGGTGCATGCCAACCAAGTCTCCCAAACTAAACTGGAATCATAGAATCCCTACAGTGTGGAAACAGGCCATTCAGCCCAACAAGTCCACACTGCCCCTCCGAAGAGCATCCCATCCCGACTCATTCTCCTACCCCTGTATTTCCCCATAAAATCCACCTAAACATCCCTGGACACTACATCTAATCTGCACATCTCTGGACTGTGGGAGGAAACCAGAGGAAACCCACGCAGACATGGGGAGAACGTGTAAACTCTACACAGACAGTCGCTCGAGGGTGGAATCAAACCCGGGTCCCTGGTGCGGTGAAGCAGTGGTGCTAACCACTGAGCCACTATGCCACTCAAGTCCCACTTGCCTGTGTTTGGCAAATCTCTCCAAACTTTTCCTAATCAGGTATCTATCCAAAAGTCTTTTAAAATGTTGTAAATGTACCTGCAGCTACCACTTCCTCTGGCAGTTCATTCCACATACAAGCCACTCCCGGTGTGAAAAAGTTGCCCAAGGTTCTGCTGAATTATTCAATAGAATAAATTACTATCTTTCAATCAATTCTAATTCATTTTTAAAATAATTCAGAGCCTGTTTCAACTGCCTTGAAAGAAATTGTACGTTCTTACCAACTTTTGGGTGAATTTTTTTTTAAAAAAAAGGATTTAACGTCACTTGCAATCACCATATGATTTTTTAATATATTCAGTCACAGGTTGTGGACATCACCGGCTGGACCAGCATTTTATTGCCCATCACTAAATTACCCAGAGGGCAGTTAGGGGCCAACCCACATTGCTGTGGGTCTGGAATCACATGTTGGCCAGACCAGCTAAGAATGGTAGTTTCCTTCCCTTAAGCACATTAGTGGACCAGAAGGGTTTTTCCTCACAGTCGACAATGAATTCATGGCCAGCATTAAACTCTTATCTCCAGGTACTGAATTCAAATTCCAATATCTGCCATTGTGAAATTCGAACCCAGGTCCCCAAGATATTACTTGGGTCTCGAGATTAATAACCTAGCTATAAATATCACTAGGCCATCATCTCCCCAATAATACGGCATGAGTCTAACCTCTACAGTTAAGTAGGCACATAAAATAAATGCTCATCCCCATTTAAAAATTCCCAATCTACCCTTATTTTCTGATAAAATGCACCAAATTAGTGCGTCACAGTCAACTGAAAAACTTTGAACGTGAAAAAGCTTAAAAATTCTGTGAAGTCCATCTGTATACTGCAAATAACATCAGTCACACTACAAGTAGATTCAGGGGACCAGAAAGTGTTTATATTTATAGTATATTGCAAATAAATAAGCCGTAGGCTGGGGAAAGGGTTAGTTTCCATTAAAGAAAATCCCAGAATCTTAGCGTTATTATTAATCCTATTTGTGAGCTCGATAAAATGCTGCGGCAGCTTGATCCGATTTTGTTACCTGTATACATACTATTCGAAATCAGAGAATGCGAATGGGAGGCATGGAAACAGTACAAAAAAAAGCAAAACTAGATCTTGGCCCTTAGGGGATATCTTTCCACTGAAAGGTAATTCACCAATTCTCGACGGAATATCGGTCTCATCGAGAGGATCCAGGGCAATTGGATGTGTAAGTCTTTCAAAATCTCATATGCATTTTAAAAATACAAAAGAAATGCAAAAACGTTTAATTTTTCCCCGCAAGACGACTCTTACAATAAGCATACTTACATTTGAACCATGATGTTACTGAGAAAGATGCCGTCAACCAACTCCATGTATTCCAAAAGTGCTCCTCCATTTGCTGGAGCTAACGCCCCGAAAGTCTTCACCTAAAGGAGTGGAGATTAGCATATTTTTTAAAAGAAAATATTGTCAGTGTAAACATATTTACTACTTGTAACTGCCACTTTCGGCTGCAATTACTGATTTAAGAGATCTGAAAAAAAGTCAAAAAGTGCTTACCCAAGTTACCAAAGGATCAGACATAAACTGCTCAAGAAGCGTTGTAAAATCAGTCTCCATTTTCAAGAAAACTAAAAATCAAAGGTTTATCTTAAACTGTAAAATCCACCGTTGTTGCCAGGAGCCGTATTCCCACTTTCAGCATCCTAAATGGAAGTGAAATTCAATCTCGAAGTATCCATAGTAAGTCGAGGTGCTTAAATCTTGATCATTTGCAATGCGACCGAGACGTCACCAAGTTCATTTTCAGCACAAAATTTTGATTTTAATTACAGCGCCTACATCACTTTCGGAAAACCGCCTTCTTCCCGCAGCAGACTCGAATTCCTATGGAAAGCTCTCAGACCACAATCATCTTCCCTCTTGATAAATTAACACAAAACTCGATATTAGAAAAAAACGAACACTCATTTCCCATCGACGCCGAATAATCGTCTGCCTTTTGTTTTAAAGGAATAGATTAAAATTAGAGGGAAGATTGAAGTCTGAGGTTTCAGAAACAAATGCCAACATTTCTAACGGCATTTCAAATATCACCACACACGTTTCCTCAATATACTGAGTTTTAGCACGAGCCGACTAACGGCTATGGAACATCATTCAACGAAGCCGCATCACCGCCCAGCGCACGATCTCTTCACCCATACGACTATCGTTAAATCTAGATATAAAACCGCCACGCCCCGCCCAAAATGTATCGTTCCGCCTTCTTGTTCTGCAGGAGGCTTAGATAGGAAAAATAAGTTCTCCATCGGTGAGCATTTTTATAGATTAGGGAAAGATTGAGTGATGTTCGCCATTTAAGTAAAAAATCATTTGTATTGTACCCATTGATATATGGAAAAATGTTCGAATACTTATTGGTGATAAAAATGTTTTACTTTGTGCTCCATCGATTTAATTCGGTCATATGCTAGCGATTTTCAGAATATGTATGTTATGCAACTAAGGTTACTCGGATTTATAGTCATGTGAATGATATTTTTCGAGAAAAGGCTACATTTAAAAGTTATATAGATCGAACATAATGCACGCTCCATAAACAAAGAAGGATCAATAGTGACGCCTAACGGTGCGGAAAACGTAACATTCCCAGGGAAACTTTCCACGCGATAATTATTATGATATTCATATTAACAGACCTTCAAATATTTTATCAATTATAATCAGTTTAGTTGAATTAATTTAAGCACCCAGATTTGTGAAGACGAAGGAAGCCATAAATACAAGGAGAAGGGCAAATGCTCTTTCCTTTGAAGCGGAAATACTAAACAAAACCATTGGACAAATCTTTTGTAATCAAGTTTGTTAACCAGTTCTGTTATTCTAGGCGCCATTCCACCTTTCATAAATATGTGCAAAAAAAAGTGTAGATCTGTTGTAGCGCAGCACATCATAATCAGAAACAAGTACGGGAGTGAAATTACAATGCAATAAATAACAGTATATCATGTGACTGGAGACAAACCATTCTACACCTTTAAAGATATTGAAACAATTTATAATTATTTGCAACCGACTATCTCAGAAATTTTTTTGAGAGCAAGTAAATATGTTCATCCTTCGTAAAAGCTTTTAAAAATAATTATTTGCATTATTAAAACGTATTTTGCATAACAAAGAATTCACATGAAATGTACTGCTCAGAAACGGGCCATTCAACTGAATTAGCTTACGGAAATGTTTATGTCTCGAGCAAACCTCCTCCCCACTTCAATCATCCCACCCTGTCAACATATCTTTCAGTCCCTTTTCCCTCTTGTATCAATTTGGCCTTTAAATGTATCAATACTATTTGCCACAATTAAGCGTACCATAGCTACAGAGAAATTACAGCACAGAAAGAGCATTTAGCCAATCATGTCCTAAAGAATAATACAATCAGGTCTAGTTCCCCACGCTATCTCCACAGCCCTTCAGACTCAAGTGTCAATCTAATTTCCTTTCCAAATCATTGATCATCTCTGCTTCCACTATCCTTATAGGCCGTAGGTCATCATCTCTTTCCCACATCCATACATAATGCATGTGCTTTAAGGAAGAAAGATTTACATTCATGCAGTGCCTTTCACACAAATCATCTCAGAATGCTTTATAGGCAATAAATGACTTCACATTGGAATCACTGTTGTACAATGTACAAAGTGCAGCAGCCAACTTGTACATAGGAAATTCCAAGAAACTGCATTTGGGTGGGAAAGGTATTCAATGTCTGTAGTCTACACTACTGTTAATACCTCTTGATTTATACTGTATATATGTTTACTATAGTCTCAATGCACTGCCAGGTGACAAGGTTGGCTGAAGGGAAAGATTGGAACATCTTCTCCCATCACCCTCATGGCTGCTAAAGCACAAGTGGATTGCCAACTTGGCCAAAGGGATACTGGGTATAGGGAATGGTGGCAAAGTAAAGCTCTGCAAATTGCAAACCCAGAAACCAGACACAGTGCAAACACAGCAGCCAGGTGCTAATGGCATTATTTTGACCTGAAACGTTGACTTTCCTGACGCCCACCTTGAAGAAGATTTCCTCCTCCCTCTGAAGAGAGCTCAGTGAGTCTCTCTCCCACTGCAACACCCTGGTTGTCTCCTCTACCCTGAAGTTCTTCAACCACATTCTGAAGCATCCACCTATCTCTATCTACCTAACCTCCCCACAGTCACACCCCACCATGTATTTCTGGGCTCCCCCCACCCTTCCCAGCCCTACTGACAAAGGGTTTCGACCCGAAACACTAACTTTCCTGATCCTCGGATGTTGTCTGACCTACTGTGCTTTTCCAGCTCCATATTCATTGACACGCATCATCATCAGTTATCCTATACAGACAAATCCCCACAAAATATCAACTAAACAAAGCAGCATGATGGCTCAGTGGTTAGCACTGCAGCCTCACAGCGCCAGGAGCACAGGTTCAATTCCCCCTCGGGCAAATGCCTGTGTGGAGTTTGCACGGTCTCCCCTTGTCTGCATGGGTTTCCTCCGGGTGCTCCGGTTTCCTCCCATAGTCCAAAGATGTGCAGGCTAGGTTGATTGCCCATAGTGTTCAGGGATGTGTAAATTAGGTGGGTTTGGTGAATGGGCCTGGGTGGGATGCTCTGAGGGTCACTGTGGACTTGTTGGGCCGAAGGGCCTGTTTCCACATTGTAGGGATTTTATGGAAAGCAGGAATGCATATTTTCAGATAAAAAGACACCCAGGCCCTGCTACACAAAGAAACAAATATAAGCAAGCCACCCAAACAATTGACACTGTTTCAAACCATTAAGTAAGTCTCCTTGATTGTTCAGAGCGATAGAAAGTTCCAGAAAACCATCCAACAATGTTTAAAAACAGGACTTACTTTCATATCAATCTTAGACCTTCTGGAGATGAAGAGGAAGTGACTGGCAAGCAAAGGCAAAAACCAACTGACCATTGAGAGTGACACTGAAAGAGAACAACACTTCGCAAACTTGATTAAAGTTACAAGAGATTCTGGGAAGTATTGTAACAACTAAGAGGATCAGGCAAGATTAGGAATAGTATTGTTATAGAGTCATAGAGTTGAATAGCACGAAAACAGACCCTTTGGTCCAACTTGTCCATACTGACCAGATATCCTAAATTAGTCTAGTCCTGTTTGCCAGCATTGGGCCCATATCCCTCCAAACCCTTCCTAGTCATGTACCCATCCAAATGCCTTTTAAATGCTGTAATTGTACCAGCCTACACCACTTCCTTTGGCAGCTCATTCCACACATGTACCACCCTCTTTGAGAAAAGGTTGCCCCTCAGGTCCCTTTTTTTATCTTTCCCCTCTCACCTTAAGCCTATGCCCTCTAGTTTTGGACTCCCCTACATTGGGAAAAAGTCCTTGGCTATTCACCCTATCCATGCCCCTCATGATTTTATGTACCTCTATAAGGTTATGCCTCAGCCTCCAATGTTCCAGGGAAAATAGCTCCAGCCTATTCAGCCTCTCCCTATAGCTCAAACCTTCCACACGCAGCAAAATCCTTGTAAACCTTTTCTACATCCTTTCAAGTTTAACATCATCTTTCTTGTAGTAGGGAGACCAGAATTGCACTCAGTATTTCAAAAGTCGCCTAAGCAATGTCCTGTACAGCAGCAACATGACATCCCTAACTCCTATACTCAATGCACTGACCAATAAAGGCAAGTGTACCAAACGCCTTCTTCATTACCCTGTCTACCTGTTATTTCACCTTCAAAGAACAATGAACCTGCACCCCAAGGTCTCTTTGTTTGGCACTACTCCGCTGGATCCTAACACTCACTGTATAAATCCTTCTTGATTTGCTGAGGTAAAATGCAACACTTCACATTTATCTCAATTAAACTCCATCTGCCACTCCTCAGCCCATCAGCCCATCTGATCAAGGTTCCGTTGTACTCTGAGATAACCTTCTTCATTGTCCACTATACCACCAATTTTGGTTTCATCTGCAAATTTACTAACTATTCCTCCTATATTCACATACAAATCATTTACACAAATAACAAAATCAGTGAATCCAGCACCAATCGTTGCAGCACACCACTGGTCACAGGCGTACAGTCCGAAAAACAACCATCTACCACCACCCTCTTTTTCCGACCTTCAAGTCAATTTTGTATCCAAATGGCTAGCTGTTCCGAGATTCCATGTGATCTAACTTTGCTAACCAGCCTATCATAGATACCAAGGTGTAGAGCTGGATGAACACAGCAGGCCAAGCAGCAACAGAGGAGCAGAAAGGCTGATGTTTCGGGCCTAGACCCTTCTTCAGAAATGGGGGAGGGGAAGGAGGTTCTGAAATAAATAGGGAGAGGGGGGAGGCAGATAGAAGATGGATAGAGGAGAAGATAGGTGGAGAGGAGACAGACAGGTCAAAGAGGCGGGGATGGAGCCAGTAAAGGTGAGTGTAGGGGGGGAGTTAGGGAGGAGATAGGTCAGTCCAGGGAGGACGGACAGGTCAAGGGGGCGGGATGAGGCTAGTAGGTAGGAGATGGGGGTGGGGCTTGAGGTGGGAGGAGGGGATAGGTGGGAGGAAGGACAGGTTAGGGAGGCGGGGACAAGCTGGGCTGGTTTTGGGATGCGGTAGGAGGAGGAGAGATTTTGAAGCTTGTGTCAGGTTGCAGGAACAGCACCTCATATTCTGCTTGGGAACCCTGCAGCCCAATGGTATCAATGTGGACTTCACAAGCTTCAAAATCTCCTTGACCTGTCCGTCCTCCCTGGACTGACCTATCTCCTCCCTAACTCCCCACCTACACTCACCTTTACTGGCTCCATCCCCGCCTCTTTGACCTGTCTGTCTCCTCTCCACCTATCTTCTCCTCTATCCATCTTCTATCCACCTCCCCCTCTTTCCCTATTTATTTCAGAACCTCCTTCCCCTCCCCCATTTCTGAAGAAGGGTCTAGGCCCGAAACGTCAGCCTTCCTGCTCCTCTGATGCTGCTTGGCCTGCTGTGTTCATCCAGCTCTACACCTTGGTATCTCAGATTCTCCAGCATCTTCAGTTCCTACTATCTCTGAACCAGTCTACCATGCAGAATCTTGTCGAATGCCTTGCAGAAGTCAATATAGACAATGTCCACTGCTCTGCCTTCATCAGTCGTCTTTGTCACTTCTTCAAAA